AACGGTCTCAGCATTTCACTTGCCTTTGAATCACATTAGTAGAGTTTGATTCAGTTTTTCCTTGAGAGCTTGTACTTGTGCACATTAGGAGGCATGCTCTATATAAATGTGGCACTTCATTTACAAAGCTATCGTCACTTACTGCAGCATTGGTTTCTGTCACCTTGATGTTACTGGAAAGCATACTGGGGGCTTGAAATAAGTTGACAAAAGGTATCATTGAAGAAAAAATAATGCTAATACAAGCATATTTGATGATGAACGAGTGCAACTTTATTCTCTTATTGAAATAAAATTTGTTTTGAACTAAGAATATAATTTATTTCATTTTAAGACTAATTTATTTTTAATTAGAAATTGTTTATTCTTGGCGCTATTTTAAGCATAAAATATTCTTCGATTAAAGCATTTATGCAGTCCTTTAAGAATTCATTTTTTTGTGTGATTATATTATAGATAAATATTAACACGTCTGTCCAGCAATTTTTTATATCGTGTACGCTACAGTAGAATTTTCATTATTATAAACATATAATGATAAAATATTGCATAATATGATTAAATAAAACTTTATCCTCATGGGTAGTATAAATTGTGTACTTTATACACTATTAACTATTTATATCAGTCAAAATTTTACAGTAAATGATATTTATTTTTTACAACCGTTTTAAAAATTTCGATAACACACCGGTCAGCAGTGACCATCAACCATGGCACTACCGATGGGCAAGGCACACCAATCACGAATAACTATGACTATCAATGTGTTAAATAAAAAATTTAAAGAATGCACATTTAGATGGTATTATATTTAAGTTCCTTTTAAAGATTATATTAATACCTTAAAATTACTTATACATACATTAAAAAGTTTAAAAATAGCAAAATATGCAAATTAAAAAAAATCGTCTCTCTGAGATATTCACGCGTCAATGGACACTCATAGAATTTGTATGTTTTCAAACAATGAAGTATAACAAAGCATTTTGTTAGAAAAGTTCTAATCAATTTCCATAAATCAGCGATTGCAATTTTATCAACACGGACAATACGACATACTCGCAAATGTTATCAAAACCTGTCATGCGCAGAGACGGTGGATGGTGTAACGCGTACCGTCTCGCGAAATCTTACTTCACGAAGACGCAAGTTTCGTAGAGTTCTGCCTATTTACATGTGTCAATAATTGAAAACTTTTGACGAATCTTGTTATCGGCATCGATCTGGCAAGTCGTTGGTAGCAGATCGCTTGCCATGAGTACGTACTTATTATAAATTATAACCGGTCCAAGAATACAAAACGCGGCGAGCAACGTCGGTAGAACAGATTATAATTTTAATTTAAAACGTTGCAGTTGTTGTATTATCGTTTGTCGTAATTAGACTGAGTTAATTTTACATTTTATATCAAAACATGGAGGTTTGTAATTAAATCTAGGATAATTACCGCTCGGCGGAATCCGGACTGAATAAAATGCGTTTTAACGCATACATATTTATGTCCTCAAACTCAGCTTTAAGATACCCCATCTTAAGCTTTAATTGAAAAAAAGCAGACCTAATTGAGAAAAATGGTTACGTCCGGCTCCCTTTTACTTAGAGTAACTCATTTTTCGCGTCATAGTCGCGGCACTTTTTCGTCGGTTAAAGAATAAGAACGTCTGGCAAAAAAAGCACCTACGAGATGAGAAGGAAAGATTTAACAATTTTAAGCACTGCGGAAATCTGAACGCAAAACACAAAAAATAACAAACTAGCATTAGTGATTATTCATATAATAAATTCGCATTTAGATTTTTAATAATTATACGTCAGTGATATGTAAACTATCTAATTATAAATATATTTTCTTTTACCTATTATAGTACTTATTCTTCAAATACGCGCGTGCGTGCGTGTGTGCGTGTGTTTCTTCTCCCTTCTCTGATAATATATACATGTATATGTATATATATATATATATATATCATGTATGTATGTGTGTATATATATATATACACACTTATATCTATATTTATATATTTTTAATAACAGACATATGTCCCCACATGAAGATAAACTATTTGTGTCTATATTCCAGCTCTACTAAAAATAGCTTTCACGTTACAATATACACGCGGATTTCGAACACGATGGCAAATCGACTGGTCTCAGTGATGGAATAGGAAAGCGAGCAACTTTAAAAAGGAAGTACCATGGGGATCATAAATCGAAAAGCTTTTCCCTCCGCAATAAAACTGCGGCAGGCCGTTTTTCAGGAATGGATCGTAGATCGCCTATTGTTACGGGTACGCGTTTCAATACCTGGCTTCATGACTTCCGTAATAACGCCGGCGTCTCTTCGCCGGTTGTGCACACACCGGTGTTCAAACGAAGCATAGCGGTGGAGTCCCGAGAAGTTGCGAGATCGTACTCATTCAGGCTCTCATCCTCCTTACGCGTCATCTCACTATCGTACTTTCACCATTGCCCTACATAGTGTCCTCGAGTTATCTTTCGTTTATGAGTTAGTGTATTTTATCGCAGGGACGTGTTTCTCTCGTAAATTTCCAACTTCCCAACGTATTCTCACCAATGTTGGCAGACAAGATGGTATACTTGCTCTACGCGACCGGATAAATGCGTCCCTGTAATCCTTTCGCTATACGTGCGCTCGTAGATTCGACGAGGAAGAGACTAACCTGACAGAGCAGATTTTCCATAGTGCTTGGTAGCATTCACCTAAATATTCGAAACGGTCAGCATACTGAAACACAACTGACGTGCAATCTGCTTTCGCACTAATCAAACATGACAGTTACCGAGAGGTGAAGCTTGAAAAAGTATAAGCAAGAATTTATTAAGCTTGAAAAGTTAAAATATCTGTTTCCATTACGCAGGATACGCAGAAAGAGTTAAATTTGATTGAGCGTGGGCTTATTTATATGATAAAAAATCTTATATGGCATAATTAATACTAAAAATAGATTTATACTCTTTCGACTTTTAAATACTACAGTTTAAATTCTGACAACCATATAGATTCACTCTCAGCTAAGAACTTTCTTAATTCTTGTCACAATAAAGCCAGCAAGACTTTCTTTTATTACTGCTCTTATAGCAAGGAAAATAAAAGAAGGGGGAGCTTTTTTTTCTAGGAACTAATTAACTTTTCTTTTATTTTCCGCATTTTTATGTAATTTCTACACGGAATACTCGTCTACCCCGTAGAAAAGCTTGGAAACGTTTTATGCGCGTTTTGATAAATTTAGGCAAGAAAGTTCGTCGTTACATTTAATTTCCTAGTACGTAGTGCTTTGAACAGTAATATCGATATCATAACAAACTTGCATGAGCTCTACCAATTTTACAATGTATGACAAGTGTTTCGCGTAACTTTTATAGGACAGTTACGCGACACTTTTCAGCGACATCGTAAAGTTGCGAAGGTAATGCGCTTTCTTCGAGTCTGCCAGGTAACGTGCCGTAACATACTGTAAACCACATTGAATAACATTTTCATTTCTTATTTGTGAGATACATAAACTTTAAAAATATGTAAACGTTATCGCAACAATACCAATAATATTCTGATATCGGAGCGATACGATATTAAATTATTTTACACCATCGACTTCATGCTCCTTTATATTTTGGCAAAATCGGTGTATAAAGACGTGCTAAAATATCTGAACAAACTTAAAAAGCAGAAAAATAAGATGTATAGGTTAAGAGAATAAAAGAAAAGCATTTCTTATTTTTAACTAAAGTGCAAATAGATAATCGATTACAACAGATATCAAAGATACAAGCACAAATTAATGAAATCTCTTTATTTCCAACCGGCTGATAATGTTAATCAAATAGAGTAACGCGTTGTTGAATTAAGAAGATAATTATTTTGAAAAATAAACGCTTGCATATATGTATGACACAATTTTTCCTTCTTCGTTTTGTTACAGAGCAACTCATCTCGAGGTTTATCTCAAGCGTTTTAGTAATATCCTATATATTCGTTCATAGTTAACGCTCAGCGTCGCGAGTAAAGCGATACGCGTTTTGCGCGATATTCCTCGCTCTCTCAGCCTTGTCATTCAATTATCTCGCATGGATGCTATCTCAGTGTGGCGTTCGTCCGGGGTGTCGAGCGTGGTACCGTGTGCGCGGCAGCGAATATAATTCGTCATAAATTATTAAAATGACGCACAAATATTCACGGCACTTGATTTAAATGCAACATATTATTTAACGCATATACGTATTGTTTAATGTGCATGCTCGGCATAAGGTAAATCAGACCGTGAAAAAAAATTTTTTAAATTACTCTTTTTTTTATATGATCGTATAACTTCGTAGTAAGCTGCAAATATGATTTTAAATATTTTTAAAGCACTCTCTCGGCATCTATAGTTGCATTTGAAAATCGAAAAAAGAGGAAACGCGCACAAAATGATTCTATTCAGATAAGTTTGCATTTTCAAGTTTCTCGCGCAGACATTTCTTTACCGACAAAAAGACCTCGGACCGGGCATAAAAACGGCCAGACTATTTCGCCGTATTCGAAAGAAATAGTGCAACCAGAGTACAAAAAGGAAGCGTGAGCTTTTCACTTAAAAAGTTTCGCTTAAGGAGGGTCTGGGGACGTGGAAATCGGCAGGCGGAAGGTGGAAAAGCGGCACCGTCAGAATTAGATTTTAGAAGGGGCGCCGTTTTGCTGGCATGGGAAAAGAAGAGACTTCCACAGGAATAAAATAACGTTATCGAAGGTGGAGGTGTTTCGAGGATACGTGGTCGAACAAATAACGACGCTTGCTTGCGGACGTAGTTACGGACAGACGGATAAACGGCCTCACGCATGTACATGGTGTTACGAAATTTCACGTTCATAAACTAACTTTCGACTAATTTTTTTCTTAAAAACTTTCTGGGCCTTTTAAATTAATTAATTTTTTCGAAAATGTGACTACTTGTCAATTTCTTTCGGAGCATCTTTAATTTCCAACACACATTAATTATTTTAATAACTGGGTGACAAAAATATTGCAATTCTACTTTAGTAAAATCTATTTAAAATTGTACAAAAGATAATTCTCTTATTTAAAGTACATTTTATTCGTGAATTACTTGCATTCTCGATTACGTCTAAAAGTACTTAAAGTATTGACATCTCGACATTCTTGTTCAAGCGAAATCAATTCGAAACTGATCAGCGAGTTCGCTTTCAAAGTTTGGCGACCCACTTTGGAATCACCCTGTATGAACAACCGCACATACATATGTGCATACGTACATAGAATGTATTGGTAAACCGCCAGTGAAAACCTCGAGAAAGCTGTTAAGCTCCTGATCTCCTTTTCGCCCGACTAAGTGGATACACCTGGCCGAATGGGCTCGTTTCGGATACAGTGGACCTTTTAAGTTAAGCTCTACCTACAGCTTCATTGTGCTAGGAAAAGGCCAGGAGAGGAGAAAGACGAGTAGGGATGAGGTCGGTGTAAAAGGGGAAAATGGAAGATGTCGAGGGAGGATACGGTACACGAAAATCTACTATACCAACAAAAAGCGCGCGTGACTCTTTCTAAAGTTACGGCGTTTTAAAACGGTGACTCTGTAGAGCCGGTAAAAAATTCTGAAGGAAAGAAACTCACTCTCGGGAAATGTCACGATGTCGCGTAAAACACTCGAAACCTCATTGTCGACTCCGACTACTTAACTTCAGCCCTTGTCGTTGCGACAAACTAAAGTTTACCCACTTACTGAGAATTCCCAGACTAGATTTAGAAAGAAAGATCTAAGTGCGATTGTTCGATTTTGTTATATGGATAACAAGATCGATCATTAAAAAATGGCCTTACACAACTTTTAAAAGATAATCAATAATTGCTGTTACCATAACATATATATATATACATATATATATATATATAATAAATGAAGTACGCGGATTAAACTGCCTCTAATAATTTCATATTTTACCACAAAACATTTGCAGCCCTTTCGAATAACGTTTCTGGCAGAAAAGCGCTTAAAAGCCAGCGCAGTTGGTTCCAACTGGCATTGTTAAACCCATGTAGATATATTCGAACGTGGTTATGATGAATCCACGGACAGCTGTGACCCTAAGCTACGGATCGGTTGTAGATGAGCCCATGAACAGATTTACTCGACGAGACAGCGAGACATGTTCCACCTGCGACCACGCGCGTAATCTCCCCATCGGAGATGGTCATAATAAAATTCGCAAATTTGTTAATTAAAACGCACCGCGAAACGATAACGCGATACGCGTCGAAGTGCGCACCTGAAGGGTGGACGTCGGTGATTTTCATTTGTCACAAGATTTAATTGTAACGTGCCGGGGGCAGTTCTCGTATGCAGATCAGGTCGATCAGCATGACACAACGAACGACTACGTGTAAACTGGTGTAAACTCGGTATCGCGCGCCGTTTGTCTGCTGTTGTTACAGAACAAAAATAAAAAAAAAATAAAAAAATACGCGCGCGCGCATGCACACACACACACACACACACACACACACACACACACACACACACACACGTACACGTTGGTGGTGGACAGTCGGCCTATTTTATATTCCCTACGCGATCTTGTTACGCGAGTAACAATCCACATCGATATACCGGACAAAAATGCAATACGGCAGCTCGAAACTGCGCAGAAAATTGTTCATAAAACATGCGATCAAAATATCTACAGTGGTACTGACGTAACCGAACAAGCGAAAGAAGTTTCTCTTCGAACACATGTCGGAAAGAAAAATTATTGTCGCGTTATAAAGTTTCTGGCTTTCAATATGTAGCCTCTTGGTGCTGCACATTGTTACTGGAAACAACGATAAAAACGATATCTACGATATTACGTAAGAATACTATCCATTAAATACTTCTTTAGAAACAGGAATTGAACTCGTAGTCGCGAGGTTCCTCCGTGCATCAAAAGCCCCGTCGGGGAATATAAATTAAATTTTACAAAGAAGACTAAGAACTAAACGCTCGTACCGTTTCACGGAAACAGAAACTCAAGACTAAAAACAGAAGAAACGATGACTTCTCACTTCTAACTTGTATAACTGATTCTGCAAACTTGTGAAAAATCATTTTAAAATGGTCAACGTTTCATTAAATTTATAAATGGATTTCACAAAAATTAAATCACTGTTACAGCATGTATTATGACAATCAATATATTTAAAAAATATTTACTTCATAAGAATATGAACTTTTCAAATTCAAAATTTCCCATGTAAATAACAGTATAGATGATAATTAAGTAGGATTTGCTTTGAAAACTGGATGCAAAATATCTCTAATGTAATTTCACGGTCCTTGCCTTGATTCAAGGATCACAGTCCGGTAATGCAATAATAAATTATCGCGTTATAACATCGCAAAAACATCGTGTCGTACACGAAATGCACATGAAATACTTTGAGGTGCAAATCAAG